TGGAGCGATGGAGCAGCTGGGGACTTTAGATCCAGAGAGGGAGAGCGACTGTGTGCTGAAGACTGCAGGGAGGGTGGGGGGGATAGTGTAGGGGGCAGGCTTGCAGGGTATACCCTTTGGTTGGTTGGTGATGCATGGAGGGGATTGGAACCATGACAATGAGACAATATACGATAGAATGAATGTAAAACTAATGTTTTCCCATGTAAACTATTATATAATTCACAATAAAACATTAATATAAAAAAAAGTAGTTTGAACTGCAAAGTAGGTGGTTCAAGCTCACCAGCCACTCCTCGGAAACCCTACACTGGGTTGCTATGGGTCGGAACTGACTCAACGGCACTTAACAACAAAACAAGCACTTATTTCTAAGCAGACAAAAGGGTTAGTGTGAAGGGGAGTGTCAAGACTGAAGAGATTGAGATAATCAGGCCCACAGCAGGTGCTCGGAAGACCCTCAATGGCTCCTCTGAGAACCAGGAGGATCTTGGGGTTCTCAGCCTTGAGGCAAACCTCTTGGACTTGTCCTTGGGACACTGGTACCAAAGCTGGGTAACACTGGTGTAATCCTTACAAGTTTACAAAGAGTTTTCACATCTGTATCTAATCCAATCCACACATCACTATCTTCCTTCTTACATTGTGGAAACACACAGAGCGTATTTATGGCACTTGAGGAATAAGTTTTCCACTGAATCCTCCCATCTACAAGGTCCATATTATTAGTCCCATTTTGTAGATGACAAAACTGAGACTTGGGGTGATTTTTTTTTAAGTGCTCAAGGTCACAGTAAATGATATAGCAAGGATTTCAATCTGATATACTTTCTCCAGGGTCAATGCCCAATCCAAAGACCATCATAAAATGTAAGAGGCTTTGAACTTGGGATGGGTGGTCTCTGACCCCAAGAGATCTTTCTACTGCAGCACAGACACATAACCCTGAGTGTCTTGACCTGAGCCTATAAGTGAATTCACCCAGTCATTCAGAAATGCTCAAGTATTATGTGTATTTTAGTGTTAAAGATTACTTGGAAAATTTGTTGTTGCTGTTGTCAGGTGCCATCGAGTCGGAACCGACTCATAGCGACCCCATGCACAGCAGAATGAAACAATGTCCAATCCTGGGCCAACCTCACTACCGCCGCCACACTTGACGCCATCAATGATGTCACCTGGCTGATCCATCTCATTGGGGGTCTTCCTCTTTTTCTCTGACCCTCCACCTGACCCAGCATGACATCCTTCTCCAGCGACTGTTTCCTCCGGACAATGTGTCCAAAGTATGAGAGACGAAGCTTAGCCATCTTGGCCTCCAAGGAGCACTCTGGTTGCACTTCTTCCAAAATAGATCTATTGGTTCTTTTGGCAGTCCATGGCACTTTCAGTATTCTCCTCCAACACCACAACTCAAAGGCATCAATTCTTCTACTATCTTCCTTATTCACTGTCCAGCTTTCGCATCCATATGAGGTTATTGAAAATACCATGGCTTGGGTCAGGCGCACCATAGTCCTCAAGCTGACATCTCTGCTCTTCAATACTTTAAAAAGCTCCTGTGCAGCAGATTTGCCCAATGCAATACATTGTCTGATCTCTTGACTGCTGCTTCTGTGAGTGTTGATAGTTGATCCAAGAAGAATGAAGTCCTTGACAACTTCAATCTCTTCTCCATTGATAAGAATGCTGTTTATTGGTGCAGTGGTGAGGATTTCTGTTTTCTTTACATTGAGTTGTAATCCATACGTAAGGCTGTGCTCTTTGATCTTCATCAGTAAATATTTTAAGTCCTCTTCACTTTCAGCAAGCAAGGTTGTATCATCTGCATATCTCAGGTTGCTAATATGTCTTCCTCCAATCCTGATGCCACCACGTTTTCTTTCATAGAACCCAGCTTCTCGTATTATTTGCTCAGCATACATATTGAACAAGAATGGTGAAAGAACACAACCCTGTTGCACACCATTCCCAATTTTAAAACATTCAGTGTTCCCATACTCTGTTCGAACAACTGCCTCTTGGTCCAGGTACAGATTTCTCAGAAGTACAATTAAGTGTTCTGGAATACTCATACTTCTCAATGTTGTCCATAGCTTGTCATGATCCACACAATCGAAAGCCTTCGCATAGTCAATAAAGCATAGGTAAACATCCTGATATTCTCTGCTTTCAGCCAAGATCCATTGGTCATCTGCAATGATATCTCTCGTTCCATGGCCTCTTCTAAATCCAGCTTGACCCTCTGGAAGTTCTCTGTCAATGTATGATTGTAGCCGTTTCTGTATTACCTTTAGCAAAACTTTACTCGCTTGAGATATCAAAGAGATTATCCGATGATTTCCACATTCCGTTGGGTCACCTCTCTTTGGAATGGGCACAAATATGGATCTCTTCCAATCAGTCGGCCAGATAGTTATCTTCCAAATTTCTTGGCAGAGATGAGTGAGTGCCTCCTGTGCCGCCTCACTTTCTTGAAGATTTCAATTTTTATTCCATCAATTCCTGGTGCCTTGTTCTTTGCCAATTCTTTCAATGCATTTTGGACTTCCTCCCTGAGTATCATTGGCTCTTGCTCATATGGTACCTCTTGAAATGGTTGAACATTAACCATTTCCTTTTGGTACAATGTCTCTGTGTATTCCTTCCATCTTTTCTTGATGCTTTCTGCATCATTCAATAATTTGCCCAGAGAATCTTTCAATAACGAAAGTTGAGGCTTGAATTTTTTCTTTAGTTCCCCCAGCTTGAGAAATGTTGACCGTGTTCTTCCCTTTTGGTTATCCAACTCTAAATCATTGCATATTTTATTATAGTATTTGGCTTTATCTTCTCGAGCTGATCTTTGAAATTTTCTGTTCAGCTCTTGGAACTCTTCAATTCTTCCATTTGCTTTAGCTTGTCTACGCTGGAGAGCAAGTTTCAGAGTCTCCTCTGACATCCATTTTGACCTTTTCCTTCTTTCTTGTCTTCTTAATGACTTTTTGTTCTCTTCATGTATGATGTTCTTGATGTCATCCCACAACTCTTCTAGTCTTTGGTCTTTGGTGTTTAATGGATCAAATCTGTTCTTCAGATGATCTTTAAATTCAGGAGGGATAAATTCAAGGTCATATTTTGGCTCTCGTAGACTTGTTTTCATTTTCTTCAGTTTCAGTTTGAATTTGCATATCAGTAGTTGATGGTCTGTTCCACAGTCTGCCCCTAGCCTTGTCTTCACTGATGAAATGGAGCTTTTCCATCTTTTCCTCCACAGATGTAGTCAATTTGATTTCTATGTGTTCCATCTGGCGAGGTCCATGTGTATAGGCGTCTCTTATGCTGTCTAAAGAAGGTATTTGAGATAAACAGATCATTTGTCTTGCAGAAATCTATCATTCGTTCTCCAGCATCATTTCTATCACCAAGTCCAAATTTTCCAACTACTGGAACCTCCTCTTTGCTCCCTACTTTTGCATTCCAATCACCAGTAATGAGCAATACATCTTGATTGCATGTTTGATCTATTTCTGATTGAAGAAGTTGGTAGAATTCTTCTATTTCATCTTCACTGGCTTTAGTGGTTGGTGCATAAATTTGAATAATAGTGGTATTAACTGGGCTTCCCTATAGGTGCATGGACATTATCCTATCACTTATAGCATTGTACCTCATGACTGATCTGGATATGTTCTTTTTGACAATGAAAATTTAGAGCAGTTCAATTCAAATGTTCTAGAGGGAAATCAGACACATAGTCATGAAATCAACTATATAATCTAATAATCAAAAGACTTCTAGAGCAAAGTATGATCAACATAGTATTAGGGGTTCTTGTGAGATGGAATTCCTTTTCATGGGAATCACAAGGTTGGTGGTTCAAACTCTCCAGCCGCTCCCTGGAATCCCTATACCGGGTCGCAATGAATTGGAACCAACTCAACAGCACTTAACAATGTCAAATAAATATCAGTGTTAACATCATCATTAGGAACATAGCAAATTTGTGATATGCAAGTTCAACCATTAGTGTCAAACCATTGAAACAGTCTAGTTTCTGTCTTAAGGGAAAGCTAGTCAACTGAATGGAGTCCTGGTGTGATGCTGTGGGTTAATGCGCTGGACTGCAAAGTCTGTTTGAGCTTCAAGGTCTGCGGTTCAAGCTCACTAGCTGCTCCTAGGAAACCCTATACAGGGTGGTAATGGTTTGGAACTGACTCGATGGCACTTAACAACAAGTGAACTTAATAGCATATTGTCATAAGGCTGCGGAGTCAGAGTTAGGGAGAGTGAAGGGAATAAAATAATACAGCTATTGTTAACCTCTTTTAAGAAAAGCTAGAATACAGGGAGTGGGATTGTGGGATCGAAATTCTATCAAGTTGACTAAGCAGGGAGGTAGCTTGAGGCTTCTTTTACCTACGGATCATGTTCCGGGTATACCAAACAGAAGGAAAAGATTCCTTCAGGACAGATGTATAGCTACGATTTAAATCCCGTCCAGCTAAGGAACACCGATAATTTCCCACAATCACACCATCTGGATTCAGCATGGGTACCACCTTGAAGATAAAAGTGTCCCGGAGCAATTGAGCATCACTTGAGTCTCCTAAAATATAATCTAGGAAGCCTTTCATGATCCACGAACTGTTGGTTTCTCCTGGGTGTACCCTTGCGGTCAAAACAACGGCCTTGCGCTTTCTGGGCTCTGTGTTCTTCCACGGGGTGGTGATAGTTAGAACATACACCATGTTCCGAGCAAGCGTGTGGCACAGGACGCGGATTTTGCAGAACTTTGATCGCACTGGGTCGCTGTTGATGCCTGAGAGATACTCCTGTAGGTTGCTGTAAGTGTATGGATAGCAGTGAGCAAAGTAGCAGGTATCTTTGTTGTGCGGAAACTGAAATGTCCACGTGAGAGAGAAATAATGGCGCCCATCTTGCCCCACGTTGTTCTTGTAGTACTTGATTTGGTCCCCTATTCTCTTCCAACCAATATTGCGAGTCTTGGCTTCTTTTTCAGAATAGAAGAGCGGACGCATACCCCGATTGTAAAGGCTGGCAGGCTTGGTGAAGTTGACGATCGTGAACCGGTAGGTGATTCCTGCCTGGGTGTTCGTGACTTGAAAATAATACCACTGGGTGTGCTTATTTGTGAAGAGGTCGGGGCGTACAGTCAGCTGGTACTCGTATTCTGCCCTAATACACAAGGAAGAAAGAACACACAGAAATGCTAGGATGACATTCAAGTTTAATTAAATAAAGATTATTTTGCATTTACTTATTTATAGAAGGCTTTTTAAAAGACACGTCTAGTTAAGCAATACTCAATAGCAAGTAACTGTAAAAGATAAACACTTTGACATTCTTTTATTGGATGAGAACTCACTTCTGTGCTAATTCTAAAGAAAGCCTTGCATCCCTTTGTAATTTAAGAGAAAACATAAAGACATGTGTATTTTTTAAAAAAATCAAATCAATTACATTTCCTATAAAAGAAGTGCCTAAAAAATTCTTAAACAGAATTAAAGTCCAATGTTTTTCTCTTTTCAGTTCTGACATATATGTCGCTAGTCTATTAGAGACCAATTCCAGATATCTCAGTTAATTGTCACTGAGAGATGTTTTAAAAACACAGATTAACACGATCGCGTAGATTACAACACTTTCAACCCCTTTAGGACAGGATCGTATTTGATAATTTTCTGTATCCTCACACTTGGTATGTTATTGTTGTTCAACGCAGTAAAGTTAGTTCTGACTCAAGATGTGCAAATAAAGACAAAAATAATAATCTCATTGTTATCTTATATACAAAGGTACGTCAAAAGTATTGCTACAAAAATCATAGATATCTTTGTTAAACAAAATATCAACATGGAAGCCACTGTTTCTCTACAGATCTTCCATCTAGATTTAGACACTTCTGAAGACAGTGCTTCCATCACTTGAAACCCCTTTTCCGGGGATTTTTGCCTTCTTGGTTTGTTTTTTTTTTTTAGTTGTTTTCGGTTCGTTTTCACTTTTTGTTGCTTTGTTAAAGTTTTTCTGGGGAAGGGTTGTTGAGCTTGAACCACCCACCTTGAGGTTCAAACTGACTTGGCAGTTCAGCGCATTAGCCCACAGTGCCACACCAGGACTCCCTCTTGGATTTGCACATTAAAATAGCGGTTTTGGCATCCTCGGGGGAAACTGTGCTCCTTTTAAATGTTCTTTGAGTTTTGGTTAGAAAAATGAAGCTTTCTGCTCCCGCATAAGATTTAAAGCCTCACAAACTGTACACAGGGTCACCATGAGTTGAAAATGACTTGAAAGCACTTAAAAATAACAACCCTGCAATCATATCTCATTAACACTTATATTTCAAGGAATTATGGTTCATTCATAGGACTTCTGGTGTGGCACTGTGGGATCAGCATTGGACTGCTCAGACCCAGCAGTTGCTCCTTGGAAACCCTATACAGGATCCACATGAGTTGGAAACGACTCAATGGCGCTTAATAACAACAAATATCTACCAAGAACCTTAGTGTACAGAAAATAGAAATATTTGATCATCTACGTCCTTAAATAAAAGCAATTCAGACCTACACTTTGACTACCTTCTGTAGATTGCCACTCTCAAACCTTGCTTCAAACATCAAAGTGTTGTCACAGTTGTCCATGGGCTGCTTCAGGGGTGTTCGGTTGCCCCCGACTCGGGAATACACAAAACAGGGCTCTTTATAAGCTAATGAGAGAAGACCAGAGAGATATGAAGCCTAGAGTATACATACGATTATGTATACTGCAGTAAAATTATAATTATGGCACCACTAAAAATAGAAAGTTTTAAAGGAATCTGATGCTAATTTATATAGATTTACACAGTGCTGCTCAATTCCTGACTAGATTGAATCACCCCACTCACACATGCACGAAAGTCCTCCCACCTGGAAACGTTTTGCTCATTTCCAGGTATAAAGACTATTTGCCTGTATTTCCCTTGACCTTTAAACAATGTGCACCTATCAGCAACAACAACAATATAAAGATCACAAGTGTACAAAACAGCAAGAAAATCACCCCTAACACTGTCGTCATTACAACCAGTCTTAAAGATGATAAAGATTTTAGGACAATCGGAAATTTAAAGTAGCTCCAATATAGAATATTAATCGAGTCCTGGTGGGGCATTGTAGAATTAGCACTGGACTGCTAACTACAAGGTTGGCTATTCAAACAGACCAGCCACTCCTCTGAAATCCTATAAAGAGTCACTATGAATCAGAACCAACTCAATGGCACTTAACAACAAAAACAACTGGTATATAAAGGCTAGAGTGGACAAGGTAAAGGATATGCAATATCCAATGACTGGAGAAAGATGAATCCAAACAAAGATGAAGTCACTATAGTGAAATCAGACAGAGTACACTGCAGGGACAAAGCTACCGTAATCAATATGGCGGGTTTATCACAAGTACCAACAGATTGTTGTTGTTGTTGTCGTCAGGTGCCATCGAGTCGGAACCGACTCACAGTGACCCCAAGCACAGCAGAACAAAACAATGTTGGGCCAACCCCACCACCGCTGCCACACTTGACGCCATTAATGATGCCACCTGGCCAATCCATCTCGTTAGGGCTCTTCCTCTTTTTCTCTGACCCTCCACCTTACCCAGCATGACATCCTTCTCCAGCGACTGTTCCCTCTGGACAATATGTCCAAAGACGAAGCTTAGCCATCTTGGCCTCCAAGGAGCACTCTGGCTGCACTTCTTCCAAAACAGATCTATTGGTTCTTTTGGCAGTCCATGGCACTTTCTGTATTCTTCTCCAACACCACAACTCAAAGGCATCAATTCTTCTACGATCTTCCTTATTCACTGTCCAGCTTTCATATCCATATGAAGTTATTGAAAATACCATGGCCTGGGTCAGGCGCACCTTAGTCCTCAAGCTTACATCTCTGCTCTTCAATACTTTAAAAAGTTCCTGTGCAGCAGATTTGCCCAATGCAATATGTCGTCTGATCTCTTGACTACTGCTTCCACGAGTGTTGATAGTTGATCCAAGAAGAATGAAGTCCTTGACAACTTCAATCTTTTATCCATTGATAAGAATGTTATTTATTGGTCCAGTAGTGAGGATTTTTGTTTTCTTGACATTGAGATGCAATCTATATCGAAGGCTATGTTCTTTGATCTTCATAAGTAAATGTTTCAAGTCCTCTTTGCTTTCAGCTAGCAAGGTTGTATCATCGGCATATCGCAGGTTGTTAATGAGTCTTCCTCCAATCATGACGCCACAGATTAACGGTACAGAATAAAGTGTCTAAAAATAGACTCATACATAAATGGCTAATTGGCATTCAATAAAGGTGAGTAGGCAACTACATAAACTTTTTTTGGGGGAAATAAAGCTGGACCTCCATCCCAAACAATCCACAAAAGATGATTCAAGATGGACCCAGACCTAAGTATAAAAGCAGAAACAAAGCTTCTAAAAGAATACACAGATGACCTTGCAGAAGGAAGCACAAATTCCATTAGACCTAAAAGAGAAAACAGGGGGCAACTCACATTGTCACAATATAAGGATTCTACTTGTCAAAAGGAGTCCTGGTGTGGCACTGTGGGCAAATGCGTCAGACTGCAAAGTCGTTTGAACTGTAAGGTCGGTGGTTCAAGCTCACTAGCTGCTCCTTGGAAACTCTCTACAGGGTCGCTATGGGTCGGAATCAACTAGATGGCACTTAACAACAACAACAACTTATCAAAAGGCATTATTCTGAAAAATGAAAAGGCTTCAGACTGAAAGAAAATATTTGCAATCCACATCTCTGACAAAGGAGTGATGGCTTGGATATGCATCAGTCATAAAGACACTCAATCCATGTGGGCAAAAGATCTGAACACACACTTTGCAAAAGAAAAGAAAAGGGCTGGTCAATATACACTAATGATGCTCAATATCATTAGTCATCAGAGAAAGCTCACAGGCACCATCCACTCCATTGCCATTACAGTGACTACAGTGAACAGGAAGACAATCCCAAATGCTGGAGAAAATGGGAAGCTACAGGAATACTCATACACTGCTGGTGATGGGGGTGTTGTTAGGTGCCATTGAGTTGGTACTGATGCAAAGTGACCCTGTGCACAACAGAATGAAACACTGCCTGGGCCTACGCCAACCCCACAATCCTTGCTGTGTTGAGCCCATGGCCGCTGTGCCGATCCATCTCGTTGGAGGGCTCCCTCTTTTTCGCTGACCTTCCACTTTACCAAGCATGAAGTCCTTCTCCAGGGACTGGTCCTTCCTGATAATATGTCCAAAGTATGAGAGATGAAGTCTGGCCATTGCTGGTGGGAGTGTAAAATGGGAAATGATACAGCAACTTTGGGATACTCAGGTAATTTCTTAGAATGCTAGCCATAAACTTACCTTATTATTGTTGTTGTTAAGTGCTGTGGAGTTGGTTCCGACTCATAGTGACCCTGTATAGGCTTTCTAAGGAGCGGCTGATGAGTTTGAACCACCGATCTTGCAGTTCAAGCCAGCCTTGTGGTCCATTACATTATCCCACAGTACCACACCAGGACTTGAAATTCTACTACTAGGTACTTAGCCAAGAAGAATGAAAACATATATTCCCCAAAGGACTTACACATGAAGGCTGATGATTATTTAATTTGTAATAGCTCCAAACTGTAAATAATCCATCCAGACATCGTGATACAGCCTTAATGATGAAGGGCTATTCAGCAATATAAAATAATCAGCTTTTGGTCCAGGTGTGGGTATGGGTTTGAAAGACATTATGCTGAGTGAAAGAAGTGCGATGTAAAAGTTTACGTATGGAATGATGGCATTTATATAAAACTGAGGAGTAGTCCAAATTAACCAATGGGATGAAAACCCAGAATGCTGCTTGCCTTGGAGACTGACTGGAAGGGGAGCAGGCAGGTCCTTTTTGAGGTGATGACAGCATTACTATCTTAATAGGGGCGTGGGTTAAAACTCATAAACATATACACTTAGGTCCACTATAAACAGCAAGCACAAAGAACTAAGAGATTAGCCCAGGTACCAAATTCTATTTTACAATGTGTCTCATAGTGTACCTACCATCTTCAGCTAGATAAACCACAATACCATCATTGGAGTTTGGGTAAAGGGGTTCCGTTTCCAGGCCTGTTGGGGTGTATACTGGCTCAGGATAAGGAGTCCAATCTGCCAAACAAACAAACACACCAAAAGAATGAAAACATCTTTTGAACATGATCTCAAAGTAAAACAGAATTTCACTGTATATTTACAAAGGATGTATTGGTAGATCTAGGCTGAAATTTAGTACTTAGGTGTGGCTGCATTTTACCAAAATTCATTGGAAATGATATCAACATTGCCACATTGTAACACAAATCCATGACATTTCATTTGCACATTGTTGTTAGGTGGCATCGAGTCTGTACCGACTAATAACGGTCCTATACACAACAGAACAAAACACTGCCTGGTGCTATGCCAACCTCACAATCGCTGCTACCCTAGAGCCCATTGCAGCTGTCACTTTGTCAATCCATCGTGTTGGGGTCTTCTTCTTTTCTCGGACCCTCCACTTTACCAAGCATGCTGTCCTTCTCCTGGGACTTGTCCCTCCTGATAGTATGTCTGAAGTATGAGAGATGAATCCTGGCCAACCTGACTTCCATTCTGGCTGGACTTCTTCCAACATACATTTGTCTGTTCTTTTGGCAGTCCATGATACTTT